GTTTCTATAATTACTCCGTTTTCGCAGGTTTTATAAGGATTGGGGGGATTATAATATAATATACCCGTGGGTTAGTGTTGGTTTTAAGGTTTGTTTTAGGGCATTTTCTCATGCAAAACCATATTCAGATAAAGCAAACTTACATCCAGTCATTTTGGTGGTTTGAAATATTTGGTTTGGCGTTTGTAGCTATACATAATCGTTTAGTATTATATAGAGATTGTTGTAGAGCAGTATTAAAGCTACCACACCCACTGCATCACATCGCGTTCTTGATTAACAGGCTCCCGACTCAACAGTTCAATTTTGAAGGAAACATACGCTTCAGACCAAATTCAATGTATATTATCGTGCGCACAAGAGCCATGTTGTAGATCTGTGAACTACAGGGAAATACGTGAAGATGAGGCAAATCTCTGTGAGATGTTGCACGATGTCGTCTATAATACCTCAGCAGAGTTGCAGAAGAATTTCTCCTATGATTACATTTACTTGACAACACCACAAAAGGTAAAATCCTTTGAGATCAGAAATGTAAAATTAATTCTCTAACAATGGTGCATGACGCTTTAGTTTAAGGGCGGTTTATGTCACTATATCTTGTGTCAAATCAGAAATCTACAAACTATGGCCTTCCCATTTTTTATACAACTGCTTGGTCCTCTGTTGTGTAATGAGTGAATCAGAAGAAACAATTAGTCGTTTCTGGCCTGTGAGCCTTCTGAAACAATTACAACCAATTTTACTGTTCATATTACAAACAATAACAGCTGCACAACATTTATTAAAAGCATTACTATCATCAATATACTTTGCAAAACAAATCTATTCTTAAGAAATCACCCCAGTGAAGACTGACGTCGACCAGTAGTAGATAAATAAACTTTTAAGACGGAAAAGTGCGCTTGGTATGGGCTTGAAAAGAGATAAATTAAGATGGGTATTTTTTTCTTACAGGAATATAATAGCAACTGTGTCACAGAAGAAGGTAAATTTATATTGATATGCATATGTGTAATATTATCATCAGTGTATTGTGTGCTATTAAACAAATTTTAAATCAACCAGACATCCCACGTACCAATGCAGAATTTCGCATTGCCATTGGGTGGTTTTATTCCGGCTGTATAATCATTAGTTTGATCGACCAAAAAAACACCAGTATGTCATGACTATATTATTATGCACCTTCATTTTGCCGTGACTAGCAAATTCAGATGTGTCTTTGCGACGAGGAGCCCCCTGTATATAAGAGAGCCTTTATCGAGTCTTTTACAGAATATTCAATTCTTTAGAATAGACTAATTGTTTTTTTATTTTCTTGCAGGAGATTTTGATCTAGTTCTGAAGAACGTTCAAAACTTTACTTTGCACGTTGAGGATGTACCTGAATTATCCAATTTTACACTTATGTTTTGGATAAACATTATCAGTTCGGAAGCAGATTCAATGACAATCTTATCCTATGATGTGGAAAAAATAGCCCAAGAATTTTGGCTGACGATTTGGGGAGCAAGGGTTATCCTGAAGTTTCAATCATCGAAAAAGTATGAAATATTTTTTGTTTTCAATGGTGAAATTTGCATAGCAAAAAGAGACTGAGATTGAGTGATCAATGAGCAGAATACTTTTTTGTTCAAGGCCCAATATATAGTTTCATTTAGTGAATAAGATTGACATCCGTTCGATCGCTTGAGATAGATAATAGATATGGACTGCAAATTTCTCCAAAGATGAAATTTTCCCTGTCCTGGTTTTTGTAGGTTGTAATTTACTTCGGAGAACTCTCTCCTAACTCTCGACTTTTTCAGGGTTCTTCATATTCCGCCAATCAATGACGGCTATTGGCATCACGTGGGAGTATCGTGGTCTCTTGGAAAATACGCTATTTTTCTTGACGGTACATTGGTTTATAGTGGAAATGATCTCGGCTCGAATTTACCGTTGAAAGGTGGAGGTGTCTTCGTCCTAGGACCTAAACTCAAAAGCACAAATGGGACTCCCGAGCATTCATTCTCTGGAAAACTGAGTCAACTAAATGTATGGAGTGAGTTTATATCTACTCCTGCTGATGTCGAAAAGAAATTTGCTAACCAAAGTTGCTTAAATATTAAATTTGGAGATGTCATAAACTGGAGTACTCTTAAGGACAGCCATGGTGACATGGTTGTCAAAGAACAGCCAAGTTCGTGTAAGCCACTTCGAAAAAGTAAGTTCTGACTCCAATTTCTTACCGCCCTAACGAATGAAACTTGCCTGGAATCATTTCCCTTTTCAAAAGTTGTTGAATTACCCTAAAATCTACCCGATAGAAAAGAATCAATATTATTAGATATCATGTATCTGGTTTTGTTTTCAGACCCAAAGTATGACATTGTTATAACACAATCACAAGACGTCCATACCTTAAAATGGGAAGAAATTCAACAACTCGATGCTTTCACAATTACAACGTGGATAAAATACGAGAAGATGCCAGTGGATCTGGACACAGCACCTCTGAATCACAGATACGTTGATTACACAAACGCTTCAGGAACCCCCTTACTTTTTTTTTACCTCACCGCGGATAATCTCACTTTGGAAATAGATGGAGTTGTGAAAAGGCAAAAGATTTTATTATAAAACATATCATTCAGAAAGGTGTCTGAAACAGGCGAATCTGTTATAAAACCTTTCCTGATGAAGTGATGAGAGTTTGATAAGCTTTCAAGCCTGCATCTGAAAACATTTTCGAAATGACTTGCCAATCAGCAAACTTATCACCAGAAATGAATGTGCTATAAAATGTTATACCGTTTATACCGTAGCTATTTTTTACCCGCTTGAAATAGCATGGCGATTCAAGACACTACTTACTAGTCTATAACCTATCTTTAAAACACGAAAAGACCCGCTTCATTGTAGTGGTGCATGCATCTGATGCACGTATTCTCTACTAATAAGAAAACTATAGAAACTAAATGTTAAATCGAAACCAATTTAGAGAGGTTACAGTGCCAGTACTAACCAATGTTTAAATTTTTCAGAGAAGCAAGAATACCAATGTTTTGGAATGAAGAACCAGCATATTGGCACCATATTGCTACCACATGGTCGAGTAGTACAGGCCACTGGAAGATATATCTGGATGGTTCCTTGGTCTCTATCATGCATGATGTGGCTTCAAATATTACCATTCCTGCAGGAGGACAACTTTGCTTGCAATTCTGTAAGAGGCATAAATTCTGGTTCAAAATTTGTACGCTGCACTTGAACTTTTCATTTTTTTTCTTCGAGACTTTACTGATTTTTTTGCGCCTTTTTAGGATACATGCTCTATAAAAATTGAAAAATACTAATATAATTATTTACCTGCAAATGACCTTGTTTCCATGTTAACTTGTTAAGAGCATGTGAGAGAAAGGTAAATAGCATAATCTTAGGATCATTAACTAAGCGATTATTATTACATAATGAGTACAATACTTAGCGATGACCATGAGTATAACAAAAATGAGGCTATTTGCACAGTAAAAATGGATCAGAGAAAAGATCTACTATCATCGAATTTTAGGTGGATACATGCACAATATCTCTCAAAGTAGACTGAATATTTGGAACTATGAAATTGATGGACGTGCTTTATCGTTAATGGCAAACAAAGGACCATTGTTTGAAAACGGTAATATCTTCGCGTGGTATGGAATAAAGTCAAAGGTTGAAGGAGAGGCTTACTTCAAAGAGACACCGGGTGATTTACACAACTCTAGTAAGTATGACACTGCATGAAGAACAGCTAAAATTCTTCGTCTCTAGCCGAATTTTAACCAATCATAAGATTTTAAACAAACATATACCAATCATCTTGACGACGAACTCTTCTTGCATTATTACCGGAACTATCGGAACTGCGCATTATATTTTGATAACATATAAAACAAGTTAAACAACCGCTGAAACTCCGTAAATAATAAACATTTTAAACATTTAATTTCTACGTTTAATGACAATAGCTTAATCGAAACGTCAAATTTAATTTTAATCTTAGGTATACAGTCTTCGATTTTCTTATGTTTTATTTAACTGATTACTATCTTAAGGTTGTCTAAGCTTGATTGGCGTTCAATTTAAATACCGCACCCTTTTTTTTATGCATTTCCGCTAGGGCTTCTAAATCTTTTAGTCTTTTATAATAAGCAGTTTAAATTGAAGATTAGATTAATTTGAAGATTTGCAATGCCTATAGCAGGTCCCGGGCCGAAAACCACATTCCAACCTTTTCATGTATCAGAGGATACAATAGCATGAATTTCGTAATTCCTTACGACTAAGAAAGTACATATTGTTTATTAAAAATTGTTTTGTGATCAGTTTAGATAATTTTTTTATCCGGCTTCATTTTCTCTTAATTCTGTCGATAATTAATTAACCTTGTCAGCTGACGCTTTGTGATTGCTTTCTCTCGCCAGGAGCAGAGTCTGTGTATCAGATGAGTTTTCCTGAAGCTTCGGTGAAAAACTATGTCAACATGGAAAAGGTTGTTAACTACAATTTAACGGAATTTTCCTCCTGTTTTTGGGCGAAATTTTTGAAAACCAATTGTGCCATATTTGCCTACTCAAGTCTGAACTATTATGTAGAAGTTCAAGCTTTTTTGTATGATTCCTTGGTTTTGGAGCTTGAAATTAAGAACATTTTTTCAGATAACGGGTTTGTATACAATATGAAATTTTGGCGTCCTGGTCCAAACTTAAAATAATTAATTCTTGGTGCAGTAAACTTTCTGATGTCATGCAGACAAATCTTGCTTAGGCTCACCCCGCAAAGCGAGAATATTTATTGAGCACGTGACCAGGAAGGTGACTGCATGATTCACCTTTTTACCTCCTCTAAACCACTAAGTTTATTTTTCTCATCAGTGAGAGTTTTTCCTGCATAAATTTGTAACACAACAGCACAGGGACTCCATTGACATTTTTTACACATTTCAGACCTAAGATCTCTGCCTATGACTCGTGGCATTTTTATTGCCTGCAGTGGAGAAACTGTGATGGTTTAATGGAGATTTATCAAGATGGGAAAAAGATAGGAACAAAATACAGAGCAAAAAATCACACTATACATTCCAACGGCGTCATTGTACTTGGCCAGGAGTTGGATTCCTATGGCGGGGGTTTTCAAAGGAATCAAGCGTTCAAAGGGAGCCTTGCAGGGTTGAATCTGTGGAGTCAATTCTTGACAACCAATGTTATTCAGGGAATGGCATCTGGGGTTTTGAATGTTAACGGAAATCTTCTTCAATGGAGGGATTTCAGAGATCATGTTGTTGGTGACATAGTTATACAGAATGGATCCGAGGCAGAAATTCCAGGTATGTTGTGATAATTATGATACATATGTCATTTATATCACATTGCCAAAATTTTTCAACAGAAAAAAAAGTACTTAAGTCAACTCGTGTCCTCTCGTGGAATTAAAAAATATTCTCGCGCAATTTATATTGCCAATTCGTTAGGGTGACCTCAGGTTTTTATCAACGGCATGAATTGCAACGTTTCGTTCCCATCTGCGTTGTTGTCTGGTAGAAAAAGTTTAATTTAATTTTTCAGAATATCGAATACAGAATCAGCGAGATGAATGGTGTGAAAGAAACATCTCTAAAGCGTTTACTCATGCAAGATTTATCCGTGGCCGAGACACGGATGGCTACAGGTGGAGATGTGTCGAGGCAGCGGCCATGTTGGATGAGAATATGTGTTACGATATCACTAAGAATTCATCCTTGTATCATAACAAGGACACGAAGAAAGAACTTTTGGGGATTAATTAAAAAACATTTTACTGCGTAGTGCGTCGTTAAACAAAAATAGATAACATAGGGCACTTTCCTTTATACGGATAGATTTATACCGATAGATTACTGGTATTAGAATGTCTCAAGAACTCTGCATTAAGGTATATCGTTATTTACATCTGCCTAGCACGAGAAATTCAGTTTCATCGCTATATTCTTAACGAAATACTCTATTTCAATTTAAAATATGACCGGTCTGACCATTTTGGCCACTTAATGAAAGCGCCCAAGGTTGAATATTTGAGTAATGTCACTAATCTATTTATATATCAATATAACATATATATAGTAACGTGGTATTTTAGGTGTACGTAAATGTACATTGTAATCAGTGACATTATAAACTTGTGCATGTGGTTAAATTATGTTCGTTATAAACCGGTCGTCGTGCATTGGATCAACTGTAAACAGGAGTAGAAGAGACGAGATTTAATAGTGAATAAAAGTTTTTGCTTACATATTCTTCAATCTTCGTATTTACTTTTTTCTTCAAAACATCGAGCTTCTCGACGTAAATCAAGGTCAGTTATATAATCCCCCGTTTCCTTTGGTGGATTTTTTTACAAATAGACACAGTCATTTAATAATTGCCTGGCCTGCTAGGTTCAATGCATGTCTTATCATTTTATGGATATAGGAGCACATCATAATTATTGCTTTTATCAAAGCTATTTTAACTTGGGGCCAAAAACATATTGACAGTGAAATTTCTTTTTTTATTTTTCCAGTTAAACAGAGACAGAATGCTTAACGAAATAAAAAATCGTTCGTTAAATGGACGAATTTTCTATGCTTTCTGCATATTCCTTTCTCCTCACTGGTTGATTAAAAAAACTTTTAAAAAACTTTAAAAAACTTTTTCCTCAGTTTTGTTTTTTCTCAAATATCATTGTATTCCCCGACTCTGAATGTATCGTTCATACAGGAAACATTGAAGTCGCGAATATGAAAGCTCCCTCTTTTTTTGTGATGGTAATAACTTCAACGTGCGAGTGAATCGTTATTCGTTATATATTTAAACTAACTTTAACATGCTACTTATATACAATCTACCAGATTAATTCTATATATTTACATTAATATTTAAGAGGCTATTACATTCTTCCCGTCCTGGTCTGGAAAAACAGTTCTAATGTATCTAAGTTATTTTTTTTCATTTTTGACTTCACTCAACTAATTAATAAACATTTGATAATATAAATCAGCTAGTTACTTCAAAAGTTAAAAGTACTGTGCTGTATGTGAGTCCTAATCGTAATACGTAATTGTACCTCATAATCTCCAAAACGCTTAGATCTTTGACGACTTCGTGTGGTACGTCTCCTTGATGCACTAGACGTCGTTTGTTGTTGCTCTGCTTCACTGGCTTTAATGGCTTGTTGTAGTGGTGCAGGTCACTGTGATACAGGGTTCTGTAGTGTAATGCTGGTGTTGATGGACTATCACTGGAAACCAACGGTGTCTCCAAGGGAAAGATCTCCTGATTTTCACTGTCTGCTTGTGGGGTCGAGCGTCCACAAAATAGAGTTCCAGCGTCCACACAAAAGAGTTCGAACGTCCAACATAAATTCCAACGTCCTCGCAATGGAGTGCGAACGTCAACAGAAAAAAGTTCCAGCGTCGGCTCAAAAGAGTTCTAGTGTCCACACAAACCTGTTCAAACGTCAACACAAACGAGTTCCAACGTCAAAACAAAAGGGCTCTAACATCAAAACAGAAGAGTTTCAACATCAACACAAAAGAATCCCGGCTTCCACATAAACGAGTTCCAACGTCAACACAAAAGAGTCCCAGCGTCCAAAAAAAAAGAGTTCCAACATCAACATAAAAGAGTTCCAACGTCAACACAAAAGAGTCCAAGCGTCCACACAAAAGAGTTCCAGCGTCCACACAAAAGAGTTCCAGCGTCCACAGAAAAAAGTTCCAGCGTCTAAACAAAACAGTTTCAGCGTCCACACAAAAGAGTTCGAGCGTGCATAAAAACACGACACAAAAAAGTACCAGCGTCGACTCAAAAGAGTTCCAGTGTCCACACAAACGAATTCCAACGTGAACAAAAAAGAGTTCCAACGTGAACACAAACGAGTTCCAGCGTCCACACAAAAGAGTCCCAGCGTCCTCACAACAAAGTTCGAACGTCAAAACAAACAAGTTCGAACGTCAGCACAAAAAGAGCTCGAACATCAACACAAAGTGTTCCAACATGAACATAAAAGAGTTCCAGCGTCCACATAAAAGTATTCCAACCTCAACACTAAAAGAGTTCCTGCGTTCAGATAAAAGAGTACCGGCGTCCCCAGAAAAGAGTTCTGGTATTAAGACAAAAGAGTTCCAGCGTCCACATAAACGAGTTCCAACGTCAACACAAAAGAGTTCCAGCGTCCGCACATGCAAAAGAGTTCCAGCGTCCTCACAAGAGTTTTAGCGTGCACACATGCAATCAATAGAGTTCCATGGTCAACACAAACGAGTTCTATCGTCAACACAAAGGAGTTGCATCGTCAACACAAAAGAGTTCCAAGGTAAACACAAAAGTGGGCCAACTTCAACACAGAAGATTTCCAGTGTTTCCAACGCCCTCACAAAAAAATTCAACGCCCTCACAAAAGAGCTCCAGCGGTCTCACAAAAGAGTTCCATCGTTCTCTTAAAATAATTCCAACGTCAACACATTGGAGTTCCAGCCTGAACACAAAAGACTACCAGCGTCCACACAAAATGTAAGATTTCTCTGTAAAGAGGGAAGAAAAGATAAATGAACTTTGACTGAAACTAAGTTGTGTACACGACAACAAAACATCACGATGTGTTTTCGAACTAGAGTGTAAAAATTGTGCACATCTCATTTGCATGAAATATCATTACATGTTTATCGCTTGCTACCACTTGCCTAAATTGCCTGCAAGCTTATAATTTATTTGCTTAACTGCTTTTTAATTGCTTATCGTTGTATAAAGTATCTGTGTTAAAAAATAATTATATTGTTTTGTTTCGCTTTCATTTAAAGAATGTTGCCGACTTCTTATGAGTGCTTTTAGTTCAGATTTAGAGTTTCTCTACAAATTGCATGTTCTATATCGTACGGATTATCTGTACTTATATTACTCCGTTTATCAATGAGCTTAATTTTTCCATGAAAGTTATTTTCACCAAATAGTCACAAATACACAGGTATCTTAAAAGTACGCACGTAATCCTGCATCCATGGGTTAACACAAACATTTTAACCACAAATTCCAACTGCTTAATTTAAATTTAAATATATTTTATACCATAAATCTATATTGATAAATGTTTTAAAAATAATATCTAAATGCACCAAAAATACCGAGTGTCTCACAGAAAACTTTACCAGAAACGAAAGCCATCCAAGGGAAGTGCCAAGTATTTTGTCATATATTTTCCCGAATTTTGAAAGTCGTCTGAAAAATGCTTTGTATCTCCATTAATATTCTAGTCATTAGTCATACCTTTATTTTGTGTTATGTATCAAGATCTAAATTAGCCCAGCCCGGATGCAAAGGGGTTCTTTTCAACTGAACAGCTTTCATAGTTTTGGGTTATTTTATAACAAAAAGGTAAAATTTTTAGGGGCACACCCAGTACGTGCATGCAAAACTTCACAAGCTGAGTTCATATGTTGTAGCATGCCAATGGCGTAGGAACAGAGGGGTAAGCCCCCCCCCAAAATTTTCAGTAAAACCAGAAGTGCACTTTTAGAGATGAAAAATGCTTTTTTGAAAAGCTAATGTACCTGTAAATACTATTTTAAAATCGAAGCTCCCCTTTTTTGTTTGCGTATGCCCATTTACACTTGCCTAAATCTTTTTTGCAGAGCATTAATATAAACCACACTACTTCACTAGTGATGTCCTTGATGCTTTGGCATACATTTTTTGGCTGCCCTTTTTATTAACCAAAATTGCCCCTGGAAACCGGTGTCCCCCAATCTCTGGATGCTTCCTTCGCCCTTGGTTGTTGACGTTTAGTGGTCATGCATACCATTGCTGTTTGTTTTTAACTTGATTCACGACAAAATAATTTTCATCGAAAACGCACGCACCGGGCGGTTCAATTAAATGACGAAAAATTCATTCAATAGTTGTCAATTAAATTATCGTTTCGTGCAGATAGGTTTGCAAATATTTTGCGCGGGAAAAATTATTTTACAGAGCGATAAAAAGCGGTTAATTGAAAAGTATGTTTTCCCTTTCCTCATTATCCAAATCCTTCCGACGCAGGTCGAAGGTTGGCGAAGGTACATTGTTGGAAATAAAAAAAATTCGAGACAACGACGGCTTAGCGAGTGATAATCAGTTAAAGATTTCAAGAAGATATGCAGGTAATCCAGGCAGGTCTCGACTGTTTCATTAGTATTTCTGACTGATAATCCCATGATTTTATCGGGCTAACTTATTGTTTTGTTGTTTCTGTTATTCCAGAGAGACTTGGGTCTGTTGACGGAACACGAGAAATGTCCGAAGAGGAAAAAATGTACCACGATTTGTTCGGCGTCAACAGCGAAACAGAAGGTTAGTGAATTAATTTAAAATGATTCATCAAATTCTGCTTCTGCCTTTGTGAATGACATTTTGTTCTCTATTGTGCACATTTCTAAAGCGGGCTGATTTCTTTGGAAAAAAATGAAAGAAATATATAAGCGTCCCAGTACAATTGCCAAAATGGAATTATAATTATTTCTCTTCTTTCAGAATGTGGCCACACTAAAAAGACACCGAGAAAGAAGAGAAATGAAGCAGTTCAACTTTCTGAAGTGATATTTGAAAATAACAACGATGTAGAAGACAACGGTGGCGATAACTTATCATGCTGTGACACAGTTCTGTCAGTTCACACAGAAGACCTCACTCGCCGAGGCGTAACTCGTCAAATCGGTAAGTTTACTTATTGAATTCTACTGCTTGCAATATACCACAACATATAAGACCAGTCCAAATATACCTTTCGAAGTTTTAAAATAAATTTTAAATAAAAACCCGCTGGTAAAATAAAATTACACTGATAGGCTGCCAGTGAAAAGGGGTGTTGATATT